TTCCCTACTATTCTTTAAATAATAAGCCTCCGTTTTGATCCCTCTTACGTTTTATAATTTCTCTATCAAGATCTACGTATACAGTTTTTTTTATTGTTGTCAAGTTCAAAGACTGCAATAAATCTTTTGTAGTGATAAAAATTACAATGTTTTGAAATCTTAATATATACATATATGTATATAGTGCATAATATATAATACTTTTATCTACTTGACTATTTATAATTGTTGTTTATTAATTTGAATGTCAGTTTTATGTTTAATATTTATAAATTTGTTATTTATTCAAAAGTTGTTACAGAATTATACAATAATAACATTTTACTTTTAAACTAATAAATAGCCAATGAATCATTTTTGCGCAAGCTCAGTTTTGTGTAAGAAATATTGTACTTTTCTTGTATGCATAAATTGAATAGGAACATTATATTTTTATTAACACCAACATATAAAGAAACATTTAAATAAATAATTCAAAACAATTTTAGCCAACCATCTAGCCAATATTCATATTAATATTAATACTTTGTACGTTAACAAAATATGTACATGATTATTCATTCAGAGCTAAAAGAATAAATACATAATGTTCATTAAATAATTAACATACATACACTCTTTAAACTCCTTGAATTAACACATATACATATAATTACGTATCAAGCACAATAGTAAAGCCTAAGAAAGTCAAAAAGAAGGATTTTTAAATAAAAGATATTTATATGAATCTATATTTTATACAAGTCAACCTTGTTAAAAGTGTGTTTACTAAATTCTAAAGCTTGAAAAGAAATTAATTTCTTTTGTCTTGTTTTATATAGAATAAATTATATACGGATTATATATTGTACTTTAGACTTGTTTCAAGTAGACAACTATAGTCGAAATAAATTGTATTGTATCAAGGTTTATAAAGTTTATTTTAGTCGTGTCTATATAATGAAACTTAGACTACATATCTTCGGTAGACTCTTCGATAGATCGCATTGTTTGAATATAGATATTTTTAAGTGTGGGTTAAGGCTCAAAGTCTGCGAATGCAAAACATTTCATTTGCAATCCAAATAATCCTCGATTTTTAATTTGAAAACAAAAGAGAGTAATGAAACAGAGATTCACGATACTAATCTATGCCATAAACAAATTAGAATTGAAGTCATCGATCCCATTTCCGATCACGTAGTTGCTATTTTATTAACTTCCTAATATAATTTATATTTCTATATATTGTGTTTACATTCTTTCGAATTCTTACTATCTATAAAGAAATAAAAAAAGAAACTACTGGAGAGAATAGTGAAATTATATTGTAGAATTTATTTCCAATTTCTAAGATTATCGTGCTTACTTCAAAATCGATCATTTATATCAATGTTTTATATTTTTCTTAAAACAAATTGTTTAATTTCTATTTTATAAAATCTTACTGTGTTATCCAAGAAAACGATATAATAATTTTCAGCAATCTTTTCAGCCTTACCATTTATGATACAGTTTCTTGTATTACCTTTTCCCTGTTTCGTGTGTTTTTTTCTCTTGTTTATTTATTTATTTATTAATTTATTTTTCTTGTTAGCTTACTTAACTTCTAATATCACATCATATTGAAAGATATTTTCCTCTTCATTACTTTCATATATTTAAAATGATTTCTGCAAAACTAACTAAATTTAGGTTCATTATTTTTCGTACAGAGAAAAATGATTAAAACCAGTAAAATTTTTATAAAATGTTATTACTTTTTTTTTTATCAACGATACTGTTTTATATGCTTATATATTTTTGAATTCAAGAAAGAAATATTTTTGTGTCAATGACGTCGAATTGATGTAACTATTTTATTCACTTTGTTTTTTCATTTTTTCTTCAACACAACAAGAACTTAACTCCTCTCTCCCCATACTTTGCCCTACCATCACACATATATGCATAAATGAAAATTTTGTTTTTCTATTCGTTATCTATACACCTATTCATCTTTATATTTTGTTTTAAAAGTTTAATATTTTATTTTTTAATTTGTTCATTCGATAAATATCATTCCTTTTGTATCAAGAACAATTTTTATTTGTACACAATATAAAGATCGATCGAAATTTTGAAAGACAACTATATTCGAATGTTTTCTGCTCATACAATTTTTCTTTAATAATTGAATTGACGTTTTTTCTTTTACTGTGAAAACGAAAACAATAATGAAAAAAGTAATAATATTAGCTTTCTAAATATTTCAGTATTTAACGGTATCATTACTCCTATTTTGTATCTAAAACAACATATACTAAAATTTGAATGTAAAAGAAATAAAAAATCTTAAATAACATATGAAATTTAATTTCGTATCATTTTATATGAGGCTCAGAGTTGTTTTTATTTAAATATGAAATAAAATTCGAATTTTATGCAATTTTCTTATTTAGTAATAAAAAGCTTTTTTTTTTCATTCTTTGAATTAATTTTTTAATATTCCGACATGTAATATCTATATTATGTTTATTTTCATTATTTTCCTGTTTATTATTCTTCCATCATTTAATAATATTTTATTATATACACTCTTACAATTTATATTTTATTGATCTCATTTCCTTGAATAATAATTAATTTATCTTATAATATATAATATATAATATATAATATAACATCTAATAAAATAAAAATAATAATATTAATTTATCTACGCCTATTAATAATAAATGCGAAATATTCGGAACGTTTATTATTTAAGTTAGAAATTCAAAGCCATACATATTGTAAGTTCAAAGTCTATTAACGGTTATTATCTGTTGCACTGTAGAGTAGTGTCATATTGAACAATGTGTATCAACTTCTCAATTTATTCTTGATATTATTTTATGTTATTTATATAAAAAATAGTACGAAATGGAGTTGCTCATGGGCGTGAAAGGAAAGGCAACTAACTCGGCTTAGTTCAGCTTTCATGCCAGTAGTTTTCGATTGCATGCTTAAATGATTCACATACACTACATTTCAGTGATCACAGAACACAAAAAAATGCGAGCATAAAACAACCATACAATAAAGGAAAGAAAAACAGATAAAATACACAACTATCTGAAAACTTAAATAAATATCATATCATTATTTTTTTTTGGTTAAATAATTTTTTCAAATAAAATATTCAATTTTTTCGTATTTTGCAATACATATTTTAAGATAAAGATCGCTAGAAAGATGTGTTAAATGTAATGAAGTTTGTTTATCAAACTTTCATCGGATATCAAATTAAAAACAATGTCATCTACCAATCATTTACCAACGCATACAATATTATAATTGAATTCAGTATTTTTATTTATGGTTAAATCCACAGTTCTCTAATTTTGTAGAAAGTTCTAGAAATGGAAAAGCTTTAGAACGGAAATAAGCAAATGACTGTTTTTTACTCATTTCAAAAGCGATTTTATTTTCGTTTATATGTGAAAGAAAACGAAAGACATCTCATATATTTTCATGAAGCATTGAGTACGAGCAAATTAGAAAGAAACATACAAATACCAAATTTAAAAATTAAAATATGAAATTTCTTTCACACGTATAGTTGTTTTTTCATTTGTTTTATTTCAAATTCATGGCTTTGTCATGAGAACTAATCTCTCAAACAACTTTTCTCTTAATGTGTTACATCAATGTGTTGATATACTTTTCTTTAATTTATTATAACTTTCACATTATTATCTGTATTATATATAATTGTATAATTGTATATATAATATACTTTTATAATTGTATTTTGTTTATCACGTTTTGCGTTCTTTTCATTATGAGCTTGTATATGTTGTCATTTCCCTGCGAATAGATTTTCGGACTGATCCACCAAATGGTAATAAACTTCACTCTAAATTAATTTATGTTACACTTATATCATTAACTTATTTTTAAATCTGAAACACTAAATAAATGAAAATAAAGCAAACGTAATGTTTACAAAAGTATATGGTTTTTATTTCATTATTGAAACAAAAATATCCATCAACAATAAGATACAGAAGTGTTTGTCTTAAAAACATATTCATAACACGTGTGTACAAAACAATGATTTGATTTACGTATGACACAAAGAAGCTTATCATTCTGAAAAAACTTTCGTTTATAATAAACTTACGCAACTTACAGTAAAATATCTACTACACAAAATTTTAGCAAAACCTTTTAATTTACTACTGATATCACCAACCTATCATGTTTTTTATGAATAAGTATATTAATAATTGTTTCGTTAATCTAAAAAAGAAAAAAACAAATATTGATATAAAATGCCCTTTATACCAATTAAATGTTAAACACTTATGAATTTTGTTTCTGCAGGCGGGTACATATATTTTTATTACAAAGTTAACTACATTATTTCTGATGTATTTATGTTTTAGCGCGTGGCGAATCAGACGCTTACCATTTCTTCACAACCCGTAGTAACGGTGGAAGGTTCGGTGTTTAAAATGTCTCCACCGACAAACGACGTGTTAAATGGAGTAGTGGTTGCGGTTCCAGGTGATGCTACTCCTGCACGACTACCGGTGGCCGCCACCGACATCACTTCATCTGCTCACAGTCTTATTACTATCATACCACCTACTCAGAAGCGTACGCCTAAGGATTTCATCTTTGGCAAAGTTATTGGCGAAGGCAGTTTCTCTATGGTAACTTTTTTCTTTTTTGTTGTAAAAATATTGTAACTTTGTAACAATTTGATTTTATAAAAACTTATTTTTAATTTTAGAAATATTTCAATAAAATCAATAAACATATATTCCATTTAAAAAATAATTTTTTTTTAATTTTCGACTTTAAATCAGTTATTATAATATGCCTTAAAAAATGTTATGCAATTGAAATTAAAATTTTAAATATAATATTGTAAATAGGAGAATAGAATAAAAAAGTGTGATATAATATAAAACTTTGATTTATTGCAGGTCTATCTAGCAAAAGATATCCATACAAATAAGGAATATGCGATTAAGGTATGCGAAAAGCGGCACATCATTAAGGAAAAAAAAAGCGAATATGTGAAGCGTGAAAAAGAAGTACTCAATATGCTTGGAAGTGCTAAGCACTCGTTCGTTCGTCTGTTCTGTACGTTTCAGGATATTGAGCGACTGTACTTTGTCCTTTCATATGCAAAAAATGGTGAACTATTACCTTACATTAACAAGGTAGGGAGCTTCGACATCGAATGTACAAAATTTTACTCGGCCGAGATATTACATGGTCTCGAATATCTCCATGGTCTCGGCATCATTCATCGTGATCTCAAGCCCGAAAACATTCTTCTCGACGAAAAAATGCATGTCCTTATTACAGATTTTGGTAGTTCCAAGATTCTTAAAGAGGTCCCAGAGAAAGGAGAAATAAACGTTTTGGGCGAACAACAACAATGCGAGAGGCGTAACTCCTTTGTCGGAACAGCGCAATACGTATCACCTGAACTACTTACCGACAAGACTACAAGTCGTGCCTCCGATCTTTGGGCCCTTGGCTGCATTATTTATCAAATGGTCGCGGGATTACCACCTTTTCGTTCCCGTAGCGAATACCTCGTTTTTCAGAAGATTTTAAATCTTGAATACGAGTTACCTGATGGCTTTTGCGAGCTTGCACGTGATCTTGTCGGCAAGCTTCTTGTACTTGAACCGAGTAAACGATTAGGTGCAAGCGACGAGCATGGCTCCGGTTATCCAAGTATTCGACTGCACTCTTTCTTTATTAATGTGGACTTCGAGACTTTGCATGAACAAATTCCTCCACCGATCTATCCATATTTACCTGGTACATCAGAACATGAAGAATTACGATCTCACTATCGGATGCCCGATAACCTTAAGCCTGGCCTTGACGATAAACAGTTAACACGACTTTTAGGATTGGGCATTGCAGAACTCAGTGATGATGAAGAGGAGATTTCCTTTATTGGTATTGAACGCCAACAACAACTTCAAAAACAACACCAGCAGCAACTTAAAGCTAAAAGAAATGAAAAATCACGTTTATTGAAGTTTGAAAATTTAAAAAAAAAGTCCAGTATCTCAGATCTCAGCAATGAAGAGTTAGTACTTAGACTCAGTCAACAGAAAATCAATAATCAGTGGGATAGCTTTGTTGGTGGTAATTTGATTATTAAACAAGGTTTTGTTAACAAACGTAAGGGCCTTTTCACTAGGAGGAGAATGTTACTACTTACTGTGGGACCGCATCTTTACTATGTTGATCCCTTCAATATGGTACTTAAGGGTGAGATACCATGGAGCAAAGAGCTCAGGGTTGAACCAAAGAATTTCAAGATATTTTTTGTCCATACAGTAAGTGAATTAAAAAAGTATATCTTAATTTTAGTGATGGAATCTTAAATTATATTGTTAAATAGATTACTTTTAATGTAGAATTGGTAATTTACCAAATAAATGATTATAATAAATAATTTGTAAATATATCAATTTTTAATCTAATGTTCAAATAAATTGAAATAAAAGTATTTTTTATAATTAATATTAAATAATTTTATTCTTTGCACTTTTTATTACAGCCAAATCGAACTTACTACTTAGAAGATCCAGAAGGTTTTGCCCTTGAATGGTGTCAAGCTATTGAAGAAATGAGAGTTCATTACTACGATGTAAAGAACACATAAAAATGTCGTTTGAAGCCGTATCGACTGTAAAGAGAAATAAGACCAAGAAAAGAAAATCATCATATATATAGAAACAGACTGCCTACTTAATAATTATTGAATCCTTGAAAAGATCTGAATTTTTGAATCGCTTTGTATCAAATGTAGTTAGCGAAAACAAAACTAGAAATTTGCTACATGGTTTTTCTATCATTTCTTTTACAAGAAATTTTTTAGCAAATTTATGAAAAATATATTAATCTAAAAAATTCATATGTATTGTGAAATCGAAACAAACAATTAAATTAAAAAATATAAAATTAGTCTAAAATTTTACCTAGTAAAAAATAATGAAAACTCTCGTTCATATCTTTTGTAAATAATTATATTTACTAATTTACTATAGACCTTTGAAGTATCAATTTTGTCTTTCGTATTCCTATAAAAATATGCATATAATTATATATATAAGACTATCATTCGCGTATATGTATCATAATTAGTAAAGGAAAAGTTTTTGGTATTAGCTTTATATACAAACGATAAAATTACAAATTCGAGTCATTTTTAACTGTTTGGAAAGTAGCACTTAATTCTTAATATACATATTTGAAGCTTGGAACAGTGAATTTACTTATTTATTTTCAAATTAATAAATTGTCATTAGCAAATACTTACTTTTTTTTAAATATTGGCATTGTTCAATTCGTAATCATTATTAATGAATTATTTGTAATATAAAGCATGTTGCTGCAAGTAAAATATTGTACGAGTATATATTTATTAAAGAATATAAGTCAACATTTTCTGCAATCTCATTTTAAGAAATAGGTAATACGTTTATAATATAAATTTGTAAATATTTATATATAAGCATTTGCGATTGCTTGAAATCACTTTGTAAATTCATCAGCAAAGAGGGCCTTTATATATTAGAAATATACATTTATGTAATTATTTATGAATTTGTAAATAATTTGAAGTGATTATATAAAAATAAACTAAAATATGCTTTATGTACGAGGCTAATCCTTTGTTTATTTTTCTTTAGTAATATAAGTTTCATTGTATAAATCTTGAATTTGATTGCGGAAAATAATATTTTAAAAACAGAAATACAGAGAAAAAGATGAAGCTCTAGAAAGGTTGGTTATGAACTTTTCTTATAACAAATTATGGTAACCTATAAAAATAGCTGTTTAAGTACGATTTTATGTGAGAAAAACAGAAAATAATATTAAATATTAATGAAAACTGTCGTGCCCTTGAAAAGACTTAAAACAGGGTATTTTTCAGTAAAAGAGAAACAACCACTTGTTTATCTTAAATCTTGAGAGAATAATATGCTTCATTATATTTAAGACAATCAATTTAACATTCAATTTTATGTTAACTAAAAATTTTTTTTTCAAATTATTTTGTTCAAAGTTTTTTAATGTGATTGTGTAATAATATATTATTAGCTTTCTAAAGATGGTGATATTTAATTGTGGTATACCGTTGCAGATGTTTAATCGTTAAATAAGTAAAATTATTCATTGTTAATTGAAAAACGTGATGAAAAATTTTAAGATGTGAGATAAGCTGCGATTTTTACAAATAAATTGTTTACGAGGTGTCCGTAAGTAATTAAAAACTAAGAATGTTGAAAATGTGAAAGCTGTGAAATTGTGTTTTTCGATTTTTTATTTTTATTTTTGTTAAATGAATTTGCACTTCTGATTTACGATGTATTGTTTATCATAAAGAAAAACAATCCTTTCTTTATCTAAAATTGTACTCTAATTTTAATTTAATCGATGTGTTTAAGCTTTCGTTTTTACAAAACTGACGACATTTCATCTTTGACATGCGAAAGAAAACTGATAGGATGGTTACATCTTTTTCCGAATTATTAAAGTAAAAAAGCCAGTGTAATTTAATGGCACTAGTTGTTTTATACATTTGCTACAGGTTGATTTCTTAATTTAAAAAATTGAAAGTTAGTAATATATTTGATTTGAAGATAAATCATATAGTTTCTTTTCATTTTTTAAATTATTAAACAATTAATATTTATAATAACTGAATATTATCAAAGCATTTATGCATTTTATGTAGAACAATTAATGATCTTGAAAGAAATTTGAAAAAGAAAAATCATCTCACTATTAATCGCAATATTATTTAATATACGTATCCTGCAAATAATATATTTGCAGCGATAAGTGTGCAAAGTACGAAAGTTATTGTTAATTATAACATCAGACTGTAATTAAATAATATATAATGTAAATTAGCGTTAAGTCTTATAAACGCATAACTTATCTAGTTTATTTATAGTAAAGTTTTTGAAATATGAATACTTTGTTTTTTTTAATATCCCTATGGTAATATTACAATAAACTATATTATATTTTACCTAATATTATAATTATTGTTGGGAAGACATATAATTATTAGATGGTTTTGTAATTTAGCATATTGTTGAAGACATGAATATTGATTATTTTTAGTTTTTCGTTAATTTAGTTTCATTTTATATAAATAATTTATGAATATTTTTGGTTATATCTTATTGAATCAATTACATAGTAAATTCTTATAGAATATTAAATTATAAGCTATGTATATATGTATTATATAACACATGCATGGGATTACAAATATTAAATATAATTTATATATAATAATGTAGTAACCATTAAAATTATTTGAAGAATACTATGCTTTAAGTAGATGGCGTATTTCAAAGAGGAAATATATACATAATATATTTCACATGTCCAATCATACTATCGTTGATATTAAGTGAAAATACAATAAATATAGTCGTTCTATTTAATAAAAATTTATATAAAATAAATTGTATATAGTATTATTAAAAGCTTTATTATGACTTACACAATAAGCAAATTATTTTCCATTAATCAATGGATGTTAAGCTTTTATAGGAATCTAATATTTTTATTAATTTTCCATTCTTTCAAATAACCTCTCAATTCTTCATTTTTATCTATACGAGAAATTCTATTTTGTTTACATTATCTAGTAATAATAAAAATGTATGTTTTACAATCAAGTGATCTTTTTATTTTTACTATTTTCATAAATACAACTGTATACTAGATTTTTTTGTTATAATATTTTGTGGTTTTATAATATTACGTTAAATTTAAGAGAATATAAATTTTAGAATTTTATTTAAAATAATATTCATTATTTATAGAAGGTCGAGTGAAGTTATTCATATTTAAATAAATGTTTGCAGTAAAACTAAATGGAATGTTTTTAATTTCGAATAAAAGAAAAATGGAAATTATAAAATATGAAAAATATATATACTTTTGTTTTTCACCTTTAAATAATCTAGAATTTAATGAAATATAAATATTATAAATGATTTTATTCTATAAAGAAATTACTCCATTATTCGTAAAAAGAAAGTTTAAATTAAACAAAGTCAGAAATGCAATGAAATATATAAGAATGAACTGTACTTGAACTTATATGATAACATGTAATATTAATTAAATTTTGTACGTACATTCTATTATTCTTCTCTATACAGCAAAATACTTTAATTAAATTTAATTATTTTTTAATTTTCTAATAGAATAATAATTGTTAAATAAAAAAAAAACAATCCAATCAGAAAACACTATTTTGAGACATACAACTTTCGAAATTTGTTGAAATATATATAAAAACAAATTTCTCTATATTCTTCATTTAAAAATTAAAAATTCTAATCAATTCATTTCAAAGATATATTAAAAATTTTATAATTAATATTTCTTTTCCATCAACATTTTGAACTCCCTATACTTAAGAGAATTAAAAAATTTGTTCAATTTTTCACTTTTCATTCAATTTGGAACTTTTTAACGATATACATTCAATGCTGTTGGTTACTGTATATTTACAAAAAAACAAAAACAATTAAATTCTATGATTTTTAAATACAATTGCTTAATGAATTTATGTCAATACTGTATTTATATAATATGTATCATTTGATTTAATGAAACGTTAAAATTAGCCGATATTATTTGAAAAGAAAAATTTTTATTTAATTTTCTAATCTTGAAATAATATTATTAATTAGTTAGAATTCTTCGGAAAGTTAATTTCTTTAATACAAACACGATAATAAAACTTTTCTTTAATTACTTTTGTTTCTAATTATATAGTAATAATAATCATTAATAATTTCTTACCAATGTTATTTTTGATCGGATGATTTTTGGTCATTTACTCTTTACAGTGTTGGGCATTTTTTACATATTGAAAATATTTACATATATTATTTAATAATGAAATAATAATAAAAATTACAAATAAACCTCTTGCAAAAATACAAATTAATTTTTTATTGTAATATAAATTGTATATTGGTAAAAAGCATTTCATAATACTTAATTTACATCTTTCAATATCCACATATAATTAATTACATAACTTTGATATATTTATCGTAAAATTGTTAGAATTTTGTTAATGTTTATTATAACCTAATTACTAATTTAGTAATTAAATTATCGTTAATCAGAATTTAAAGAAAAATTTAATTCATTACTCTTGACTTGATTCCTTTTAATCTTACGCATAAGGAAAATACAATTATGATATAAGATTTTCATGAAATTTAACAAATGCTTAATTTTCAGTTAAATTTATTTGGACTTTTTAAAAGTGTGTTTAAATAATAATTATTATCAAGTAATAATTTCTTAACACACAAATCGCTTTATGGAGAATAGGAAAAAATAAATACTGTAAGATTTGTAACATTTAACAAATCAAAATTTGATAAATGGTTTTACAGACAATAGAAAAAAAGTAACAAATATTGTAAAATTTTGTAATATATATGATTTATTGTCTACTAAAAATTATACTATCCTTTTTTTCAAAAAGGAGCAAATACTTCTGTCTAAATACAAAAAATTCTGTAGATGTTCAGACTGAGAAGTACTTTCGATTGTTCAAGTACTATATACTCATTGGTACTTTGTTAAAGAGATTTACGTAATTTTTCAATTGTGCTCATACGTATATGGTATTTAATTTAATATGTGGAATTTTGTACATCGGTTAGTGCTCATGAACAAGCCGTAGATTTTTTTCGTAAAAATCCATTATTATAGAATTATTGTAGTATTGATTCCTACATTAAGGCACCCGTTTTAATATGAGTTCACCGCTAGTATAGTGATGAAAAACTGATTAATACTGTTATGATTACATAGAATAAAACATTAATTATAAAAATTATATAATGAAATCTTCCTAAAATAAGCAACCGGATGAATTTTTTTTAATTAACAAGCATACAACAGTTATATTGATATTCGTAAAACAAGAATACTAATATTATATATGATAGGCAATCTGCCTACATGAATAAGTGTCCCTATATAAATATTTCATATATATGAAATCGATACTTTTGAGACTATTTATTTTTCTACAGTTCGAGAGTATAAATTTAGAAATAAACCAGAAAATAAATTCAGAAAAGAAAATGTTATCTTTCATTTTTGCCATTGATGATACATTGCTGTAAATAAAGATAATAATAATAAATTATGGTAGTAAGAAGCATACATGTAAAAAAAAAAAAAAATTGAAATAAAATAGATTAACGAAAGGAGAACTTTCTGAAAGCACATTAACAAAAGTACAATACACTATTTTGTCGCATGCACAATGAAGACTTAAATTTATGGATTCTTAGAAACTGGCATATAAAGATATATATGAATATAAATATCTACATATTCTAATAGTATGCAAAACAATAGTTCAGTACTTTTATTTTTAAAAATTAAAATTGTTTGTATAAAAACTATGAAATTTATAATTTAAAAATAAAAAAAAAGAATTTTACAATTCTGTAAATAATAAATACACATTTAGATTCGCTTCGATTTATATAAATAATATGAATTAATATAATTCATAATATTAATATTAAAAATACATTAATTAATATAATACGCAAATATATATTAATTTGTGTAATATTATTTGTATAAAAAATACATTTTTATATATTTATTAATTAAAATTATGATAATAAAATTATATTATTTTAACATATTTTTTAGTTTTATTTATGTAATTGTATATATTTTTCATATAAACATTTTTTATTCGAATACTTGCATCAAATGTAAAAAAGAAATTGTTTTGAAAAAATAACGTAACTAAAATTTTAAATTATTTATTTTAAATATTATGTTTACTATGTAATATTGTTTTTTTTTTTATTTAATTTCATATTATAAGTTTATATCTTAAATACGAAAAATCGGTTTCTATTTTTATTAAAATGCATGCGTGTTACTTATGTTGAATTATTAATTCTTTAGTGATCTTAGTGATTTTAGTGATTTTCTAGCAAGATTATAGATTGTTTAAGATTTATACGGATTTTTTTATATTACTTATACTTTATATTTACATATAGAAATTAGTGAAGCTTACTTAGAGTGATCCTAATTTTTTAAGAATGTTATTAAATTTGTTAAACATTCTATATAAATATATTTCACTTAGTTTCGATTATGTTGAAAATTTATTGTCCCTTATTGCTAAAATGATGGATTAATTTTAAACTAAATCACACATTATTTATATACACTTTATCTTACCTATATGTAATAAGACCAGGCAGTCACAATTTCATTAACTCAGAATGTTTGTTTGCTACCTTTATATTTCGATAAATAGTATCATAAACTGTAACTGTTTTTTGAAACAATTGATTTTAAATAATATCTTATTAGATAATTATATTCTTAACTTATTTATTTTTCAATTAATATTTCGAATCATTTGAATAAAATTGTATCTGAAATTACAAATAATTCATATAATATTGTTAACGGTTAATTTTAACATATCAAAAACTACATAATTTTTTATTAAAATTATGTGTTACTCATATTTTTTAATTGTAACATATTTGATAAGGCTGGCGAAAAATAATTTTTAAAATTGAATAATTTGTTTCAAATACATTAAAACAGATTACTTTAAAAATTATATAAGCAATTTGAAAATTATATATAAAATATTTGATTGCATTATGTACAATTTTTTATTTAATCTTAAATGTATTTAAAATAAAGAGTAATTTTCACATACAGTACGTTAATAAAGTAAATAAATAAAAATAAAACAAAAATAATATAAAATAACGCTAATAAGACCCCTTTTATAGAATAGTTTGACTATTAATATTATTATTGTATTATTATTTTATTCTTTATTATAATTTAACATATAATATTATTGAAATATGTTTATAAATATAAATATGAATATTTATGTACTTTTTAAAATATTTATTTTATATTTTCTTATTATATTACAGCTATTTTCATAATTATTTTGAACTTTATAAATTTAAATCTTACTTTAAATCTACATTATTAATTTCAATTTCACTAAATCCTCTATAGTGTACATTTTTACAACCTTATATCTTTATATATATTATTAGTTTTCTAATTATACTGTCATTTATTATTCAACATTGGATTAAAGAATTTTAAAAAATTTTAAATATAAGAAATTAAAAGCTTTAAATTTTATTTTTATATATAAAGATTTACAATTAATAAAACGAAAAAGGTATAAACTATTAAAAATGGGTTTATAAATTAAAACTAATTAAAAATTGGGCTTTTAAAAATAACAAATATATTTTTTGAATAATTCATATAAAATTTCATCTTACATTCTTTGATTAAAAATCACATGATCCTTGCTATTGATTCCTTTTTTATGTTTGTTTATGATTTTCATTAATCATATTCATAGTAAGTAACTCTGCAAGGCAAATTAAATATATAAATAAATTATGGAATAATAAATTAAAGTAAATATACATAAATTCTTTTCAAGTATTCAAATACTTTAATTCTAATAATTTACTTGAAATTTAATAATATATTTGACTGATACAAAGGTCTTAGAAATATTTGTAATAAAGGTTTGGTAAGATTTCAAATAAATTGAATAATGATTTAACGAAATATTCAAATAAAAAAGCAATCTAGTTGTCATGATTTATTCAAATCTTAACCAGTCTTAATTTGATATAACGCCCTTGTTGCCAAAGTTTAAAAGAAGAAATAACAACTGTAAATTCTTATAAAATAAAATAATAAAATGCATTTTAATTTAAAAATTATTTATTTTTTTATATTAATATTTTCAAATATTTAGTTTTATATTGGTTAAATATGTAGATTAAATAGGAATTAAAGATGAAATTAAATTATAAATGACTATTAACGAATAAAAAGAATTTAATTAAAATTCATGAAAAGTAAGATTTTTTTATTTAAATAAATTTAAAGTATATTATTTACCTTTGTTTATTTGAGTTACGCCGAGATTGTCTTTTTCCTCTGTGTACGTTTAATAAGAAATGTTTTGTATGAGAAGGATTTGCTCGTAATTCACGCGCTTCAACACTTTTAATTTTTTCTAATTTTTCCATAAACTTATTAATAAGTTCTGGACAGTTTAAATGCTTTTCAGGTTCCCAAGTATCTTCATTTGGTGAAAATCCTTTCCATCGAACTAAAAATTCGCGGGTTTTATTTTTTTTAAAATGGACTTCAATAATTTTTTCAACTTCATATTCTTTTGAATCTTCAATGTCTTCATTTGTATGTATTTTAGATGTGTCTATATGCATATAAAGATGGAATCATTTTTGTTAATATTTTATTTAATATAAAAGATATAAAAATATTTTCTTTGTCTTTTTTTATTACTGGTAAATTACAGAATAAAAAAATTTGTTTTTAATACTTTTTTTATAATTGGTAAGACTTAATTTCAATTAAATTTGTAATATAATGACAGATTATTAAATTAAAGTTTTCAAAAATAAACTAATATTGAAATAATTTAATTTTAAAATAATTAAATTTTTATCATTCTGATATAAAACTTCATATACATTATGATTGCAATTACATCATGTTATATTTTATAATATAATTATTAATAAATTATTGATATCAATGAGAATTGTTTGACAATTAATGATAGTACTTTTGCAAAGTTATAATTCGTAATAATATTTTAACCAATACTGGATACAATATTAAGAAATAAAAAGAAATTTGATTAAAAAAGAAAAAAACAACATTCAAATATTTGTATAGAAAGCTTGTTGCATACATTCATATAAGTTACATTACAGTAAAAAAGAAAATCAGCCAATATTTATAATTTTAATTTATTTTTCAAAAATTAAAAATATGTAAAATTTTTTAATATTAAATTTTTTTCAGAATATAAACCCTAATTAAAAAAAACTAATTTTTTGATGAAAATATCTGATACCAAGTTTGAAAATAGTTATTTTATTGTAGATTGATAGTTTTATAAATAGAACATTTTTCAAGACATAGATAATAGAGAGACATTATAATATTTTCAATTAAGTAAAGTTTATTAGCAATTAGTGCTACTTTAAAATATTTTATTCTTATAAATTAAAATGAATGGATATGATATATAAAACTCTAAACGTTCTATCAACTTTATCTAATTTTTACAGAATTACATTATTTTTAATAACAATAATATGCAAAATTTTGACTTAAAAATCATGTTCTAATTTTTTTATGAAAATAAACTTTTTAGTATACCATACTTTGTTCATGATGAAAATATATGTAAATTACAATATATTTTAAACTTTTATTTTTCAATAGAATTTAAGTTTATAATTGTATTAATTAGATTTTTGAAATTTCAACATTTATCATTCAATAATTTTTTAAAAAACTATATCATTTATGGAATACTTTGTCTCATTAATACAATGTATGTAAATTAAAATATAATTAAACATTATTTTTGTATATACTAGATATATTAATTATATTTTTAAAACTATGAAAACAAGTTTACATTTTATATTTAACAATTTTTTTAATGATAAAAATATAATTTATTAACAAGATAAAGAATACTAATTTCGATTAAGATAAAAAATACTAACAATGATTTATTTAAAACTTTTAAATTTAGAAAACAATTAAAAAAGTTTAAAATTTAAAACAATTATTACCTCATGCAGTTTAAAATAATTAATTATTTTACTAACGAAATATTTTTATTCTAACATACCATTTTTAATTTTATTGTTTTTTCCCAGTATTTTAATTTTTTTATCTTGCTTTTTGATTTTTTTCTTAATTTGTTTTATGTCCTTTTCAAAATATTCAGTATTTTCTTCTTGTTCAGTTAAGAATTCTTCAATTAACCTGTCACAGTTTAATTCTTTTTCTTGTTCCCATGTATCAGATTCTACCGTATAACCTTTCCACCGAACTAAGAACTGACGACGACCCTTTATCGTACGTTGATCTACAATTTTTTCTACCTGAAATAATTTATTTAGCGATAAAAATAATAAAATTTTTAGTATAAAATATATTTAACTCAACTTTTGTATTCTATTCAAATATAATCTATCGATTCTTTTATCCTTAATACAATTTATCATTCATTCTATATTACCTATGCATTAATGAAACTAAATTTGTTTAAAATAAAAAAATATACTTAAATATATATTATATTATATATATATATATATATATATATATATATATATATATATATAACAATATTAATTGTATCAAGCAAATGAATATAGTTATTTAAATGTAGAATGTATACAATTGGATCATACTCTAAATATTAAGTTTACTTCAAATGAACTTTTAACAAATAGAATATATTAATTTTATATATTTAATTTTTATTACTTTATTTACTTTATATAAAAATAACAAATTAAATCCATTTAATAAAATATTTATTCTAATAAATATGTAATAGATTAATCATAAGTTATTCTATATAATTCTATATAATTCTATATAATCAATATCAAATAATTTAAAGTAACCAAGAATTTGTATACAATCTATAAATAAATAGTTTTTCTAAAATTAATTAATAATGAAACACACCTCATATTCTTCTCCATCTTGTTCATTTTTATTCTCTCTGTGAACTTTACTCTTCTTATTTTTGACTAATAGTATTTTATTTTCATCAATTATACTCTTTTCTTCTTCATAATTTTCAATATTACATTTATCAGATTTATTCTTCATTTTCTTTTTATCATCTTTCTCAGTCTCCTCATCTAATTCCTTTTTATTATTCACAATTTTATCACAGTCTTTCTTCCAGTTTTTAACTAAAGATTTATCATTCGATTGTTCTTCATTTTCATCCTTAGAATTGTTATGAATTTCTTCATTTGTTTTTCTTTTTACTTGACTACGGTTGTTACGTTTTCTTTCTATGTAATTTATTAATTCAGAATCATAACTGGTTTTATCATTGTTAGTTTTAATTGAGCTAAGGGTTTCATCAGCGTCTTCACTAATTATCTCAGGCTTTCTTTGTTTACCTCTATGTATACGATGCATTATTTTGAAATTAATTCAATGTGCAACCTAAAAAAGAATTATAAATATTATTATATATCCATGTATAATAAATTTATACAATTATTCAATAATTTTGTTATGTATTTAACAGAAATTTTAACATAGTTTTTAAGTTGTTAATAAGCAATAGATATGTTGATTAAAATAATTTGGTGAATCTTATATTTTATAATTTCCCGCCATAAAACATTTTTCACTGAACGTATACTATACTTTACCCCCTCCTTTTAGCTTACTGTTTTTGAAGCTGCATTTTTAAATAGAAACATCTTTTTTAAAATTGCTCTCATAAGCATTTTTTTTTGAGAATACAATTGAAAGGTAAAGAAATACAAAATCGAAAAATACTGTTACTGTTGTTATTGGTACTACTGTATGTTCTATTTGACTTCCTAACCTGACATGATTTAGAAATACTCAAATAAAAGTTAAGTACACCGAATACGAATTTAAAAAAAATAAATACAAAATATAATATACATGTACCTTTGAAATAAGGTTAAGCGTTTATGTTAATGGCGCCTTTTTTAGTTTTAAGTTCATTAAAAGCACGCGCGACAGTCAATAGAAATTGTACACGCAGAAAAAGCGTGATTCTTTCAATTCAATTTATTGGAAAATGTACTATTCGTTAATATTAATTTATTTTATTAGACATAATACCATTATTGCCGTTTCTTAATTCTCACTTTTTTAACCATTTAATATCTATAATAATTAGTAAAGTCGAATCAAGAGACGTAGTTCAATGAAGCGGTGACTTTTTGAACCACACATGTTCGCCTACATTCATTGGCTAATCAAAAATCAACGAGTGATGTCAAGATTATATATTTTAAAAGTTAAATCTATATTAACAATGGCTTCAAGGCGAATAATAAGTAGGCATAATTTTTTATAATTTCTAACACACTTGGCCACTATAATTTTAATTTGTTCTAATATTCGTTGACTGCATTATTAAAACATCTCTTTCAAATTCAAGTCAATTTATGCAAATACTCTTTTCTCAATGAATTAATTCTACATTATATTTACTTGATTTTACTTAAGTTATTTACAAGTTTAATTATTAAACTTTAATTGTAAATATTCTTAAATTTAGAAGCTTAAATCAATGGCTTGAATTATATATTTTAGTATTCAGAACATTCAAAGGTTATCGATTTTGTGATTAGGATTAAAATTGAAATTATGAAAAAAAAGGAGATTTTGTACATTTTGTATCAACTTTATCAGAATAAATCTTAATTCAATATTATCCAAGATTAAATATTTTGGTATGATTTTATAGTTATAAACCATATATTTAATGATTAATTCTCAATATTTTACATAAATATAAATGTATGATTATAAAAATGTTTAATAAACATCATTAAAAAAATTTATATTTCCAGAAACTTATTTAATAAGGTTTTTTTGGTTTATATTACAATCATTAATTTAACATTTGATTTTTAACATACTTTTAATTATTCCACCATTTTAGTTTACTTATTAATGCCTGACTACTGTTATAAATATAAAAACTTTTAGTTTTTTTTTTATTTTTTGACATTTTTAAATTAAATAACATAATTGTGATATTTTATATATTTTTATACAAAAGTTTTTAAGTATATCATTGAAAAAATATATCTAAAATTTCTTTAAATAGGTATTCAAATATTTTTGAAGACGAATGTTTGAAATATTAAAAAGTGTTATAATTTCTTAAAAAACTTGTTTTAAATGTTTTATAATAGTACAATTTAATCTAAATAAATATGAAATATACACAAATTGAGAATAAGTTTAAAAAGTTATAGTACTCAATAAAAAAACAATCGTTATTTAATAACTTAAATTAATTAGTTTATTGAAAATGCAAAAATATTACTTAATATTATTTATTAGGTATTGTTTATACATTAATTAATTATTCATTATTGTTATAAAAAACTAATCGTCTGAAAGAATATTTGATAATACTGTTCCGAACTATTATCATTATAAATAAGTATTTTATTCCTCATCATGATTATGTACGATTTTAAAAGCAAAAAACTTTTTAATAAATGTTACTATAAATATTTTAAAAAATGAAAAAAATTAAGGTAGAAACTCTAGTGCAACTAGTATACAAATGCTTATAATATTAATTTTTCTTAAGAATACGTTATATAATTATTACTATCGTCTTTCGTACAATTTACAATGACAAATGTTAATAAACATTTTAATAATATTAAATGAATTCTTATATTGTATAGATTGATTATAAATTTGTAGTATGATTAGAAAAGAGGAATAATTTTTCAATAAATTTTATGTAATAGGTAGATTTTAAAATCTTATACAATTTCAATAAAATAAAAGTAATTCTTTAATTTAAAAAAGGTTCTAATGCAGATAGCTTTTAACTACATAATTGAAAATTATATTATAAACATATAATTATGGCTCAAATGATTATTTTTATTTTAAATAAGTAATTTTATTTCTTAGCTAATGCTACACCAAAAATGGGTTTAATAAGTATAATATTATGTTAATATTCCCATAATTTGAAAATAAAATTCAAAAAAAGGTAAGTGAATTCATTTGAAAATTTTATTGAAATATTATTGAAAGAAAATAACGAAATGAATATTATTATTATTTTATTTTTTATATTTTTCTTATTATTTAATTAGTTAGTTGAATTTCCCGCATTGTTGTAAAATATATAATTTATTCCAAAACTATTTTGAAATTTTGAAAGTAACAAATATGTAATGTAATCTTTGATTCTTATGAGATGGATATTTATAATGGATTAATAAAATTGTGCTAGATGGCAATTTTAGAATTCACTATTTTAAAAATATTCTTAAAACAATTCATAAAAATATGTTTTAAATTGGATCTTATATGGTGAAATAAAATAATGAATTTCTTGAAGGTACTTTCAAAGCCTGCGAATGGACGATTAACAATTAAGTAGCAATAAAACAGAAAGAATATGTAAATATCATTTACTCTAAATCTCATTTACTAAAATCATTTAATAATAATTACTAACATAGGAAAATTTCCTTTTTGTTTCCAATTTATATTTTTCACATTTTTTTCTAATTGGTTCCTTCTCAATCGGCTAATGTCATGTTCAGTCTCATATTATACTAGAAAATTAGTTTTCACAACTTAAAAATGCAGATGCTTTAGATTCCAGCTCACTATATAATCGATGTTTATTTATAGGGTAAATATAACAATTTTTTACTAGTGTTTATATAATCATTTTTATTATATACATGTGTACAAAATGTGTCCGATGATTCGGCTTGTTCACCAAATCCGGCTCGAAGAACCAAAATGTTTAAAATAACTCAGAGACCACGAGCTGTTATGTGGTAGAAATGTGCGGCCAAGCGGAAGGGATGGCGTATTAAATTCAATATTAACACATCTATTTGTTATGCTGTTTATTCCATTAATTTCCAGATACAGGAATGATTCTTGTTGCTGATATCAATCGATGAACTCTTGGTTCAGGGCAGATCACACATAGCTTTAGCATGCGCTTTAACCAGATGTAGGAAGATGTATATTTGCTGCTTCTCTTGGCGTATTGCACTGGTGCTATTCCTTGGGAAGTGAGGGATTTTAAAAGCTCTTACCACTCTTCAAATAAAGCCGCGTGTTTCTGCGATTGCTTCGTGCGCTGGTGGGGCACGTGCTGTTTCGATGTTTCTGCAAGATGAGCGCTGAGTGCGAAGATTAACCACGTGAGCATAGGACCCAAGCTAGGAGAGAAGTAAGATCGGCATAGTAGGCACTGAATAGCGCAAAAATTGGCTTGCCGATGTGTGATTCTGGCGTTTGAAGCAATAGCAAGATTCTCCTTAGTTATAGGCAATAGAATTAGTCAAGATAATTTTGCGTTTTACTTTTGAAACGAACATAATCCTTTAAATATGCTCGGTGACCTGGCTCCTGGAGAAACCTTGATTGGAAGATGATGGATATAACGGATTAAGTAGATGAGACTACAAATGAAGACTAGTCTTGGACTCAGTTGATGGAACTTTGCCACTTCTTTCTTCTATGAGGACAAGGTAAGTGCTTGTCTTCGGACTCCAATAAGGGAAACTTTTTTCCACTTCCTTTTTCTTTGAAGACTCCAATGTGAGTGATTAAATCTTATAGTTGTCCCTCCTAAATACAGTTCACTGAACATGGTCTTTACTTGGGACCCCTTCCCTTTTTTGTGTCCAATCAGAGAGCTTGCGGCTTATAAAGCGAGTGCAGTGGCTCTCGCGGCATCGCCTTGAATCACGAAGCTCAGTCTTCTCTTGGCCTTCGACCTCATTGCCCTTGACGCGCCTTTGGCAGTCGCATGACAGACTTGACAACAAGAGGGGAGGGGGCAGCATATACCGTTAGATTTTAGATTTTGGGTATAACGATTCTAACCCCGATCCCTGAGTCTAACGACTTGTTTTGCCAGATGATTTATGGGAAGAAGTTTTCAAAAGTCCACCGACTATTTAATGATGTTGTTTTGCTAGATGTTTTATGGCATTGGAAAAGGTTCTCGCAATCTCGAACAACATGAGTAACGTATCGATGCTATTGGAAAAGATTATCAAGTAAAATTGGTTATTTATTTGTTAATATTATATATATATATATATATAATATACAATACAATTTTAATTTAAAAAACAAAATAAAATATAATTAAAAAAAATAAGTATATGTTACGGATTACAGCAGTTTTAAGCACAATACAAAGTGGGAGAGGTATGAGCGCTCAAACATTTGTTTTATAAACACTGGCCAACGAACTCGAAGAATGCTTCTATACCGAAAAAATTCGAATATACGACTATAATTTCGAAAAGTAATAACAATGAACCCTACAAGGCTATGGCCCTATTGACATCACGAAAAATATCGGCATAGCAACAGCCACCGATGCGCTATCGGCGCTGCAAGTTCGTAAGAGAATATTTAAGGAGCTGCACGTGCCGCGATTCCTTCTTGCTAGTACTAATTACGCACTCTCCACATCGGGCTCGCTATCCAACCTGCAATCGCCATTATGAAGCAATAGCAAGCATCAAGCAACCTAAAGAATTAATAGCGACGCCACAACTATACCGGCACCCACGCCTCCGTAAGCAACGCACCACGCTCGTTCTTACATCTTACCTCTACTCATCGGCTCACGCCCGCATGTAAGCAACGCACCACGCTGGTTCTTACATCTTATCTCTACTTATCAACTCACGCCCGCACATAAGATACGCCACTTCGCTCGTTCTTACGGCTTACTAAAACATCGGCTCCTGTCAACTACATAAGCAGCTACCACACGAACGTGCACCAATGCCACGACTACATCTGATCTCACGTACACAAGCAGTGACGTCACACGGACGTTCTCCCACCATTCCGTTCACTACAGCTCTCACCCCACGCCGGCGGCTTGATTTTACCTCTGCGTGCTGTAGACGTAGAAGTCTTTATAGAGTTGACAGGTCCTAGCACGAGCCATTCAAAAATGGATAATTGCGTCAGTGGCATGGATGGAGAACGAGTAATGATATGGGACTTGATGATCTGCCTATATATGTCTGCTCCAAGAATGATTTCTACTGTTCGAGGTGTAAGATATTGCGGATCGGCGAATATTAAGTTTTTCAAGTATGACCAATAGTGTGAAGTTGGTTCTAAAAAAGGAATTATTGATGTTAATGATTTAAGAAAGTGAGCCTGTATAGTGACTATGGCTTTCGAGTGAATTGAGTGGAGAGTGAGTGACACAACATCTTGTGTCTTGAGTTACTTGAGCTCCCCCAATTCTATGAATGCGAAGGATGGAACGTTTTATAGGAATATAGCGTTGTCTGATGAGGTTCTCGATGACGAATGAAAGTTCAGAGTCTGTGTCAATGAGAAGATGAACTTGCACTGTATTAGTTTTTGACCGTATTTCAGCCATGGCTGTAGCAAGTAATGATATGGTGAAATGAATTATGTGTCGATGATGGGCTTGAACTATTGGATCATCTTTTACATTTTCTGGAGCTTTTGCAGAAGCCGGTGTAGTCTCTTAAGGAATTGAGGCAGAGTCTACGTTTTCTTCTCAGATTGTGTCTGTAGCGCAGACATTTTTTATTTTATTTTGAACACATTTGAACGAGATATTTTTTGGGGCAGTATATGCACACCTATGGCTCGGATGATCCAAATGATTAAACTACCCGAGGTTTTTTCACTTGCGCCTTGGTTGGCGAGTCTTCTGTTAAACTAAATTCTTTCTTGGAGAATTGGTGTAGTTTAGTGATAATTCTTTAATTTTTTTATTTTAAAAAATATTACATGACAATCTTGTTTAGATATTCATTTTACTTACTTAATTTTTGGAAGGAAATTTAAATGAAATAAATGGATAAATATAATAAATGATATGAGTAATAAAATTTCTTTAAACATACTTTGCAAATAATTAAAAATTTCGAACACTTTTATAAATAATTTCTTATTTGTAATGTTATATTTATTGAAATTTGAATTTCATAATTATAATTTATTAAAACATTAAAGTGAAATGCCAAGTAATTCTGGATTTGCTTTGATTAAACTAAATTCTGTTATAAAATTATCTGCAAGTTTAGGTTTCAATGTCTTTACAGCTCTATTGTATATATTAGATACTCTTATAGCTTCTCCATACTTCATTTCAAAATTTATAAATTCCATCCAAACATCTGTATTCTCTTTACCAAATTGTAACGTTGTCATCTCATGTGGTCTTCGAGCATTTTGCAAAGAAATATCAGGTTGTAAAAGTTCAAGAGCAGCCATTTTTTTATGAAGTTCTATACATGGAGGTGGATGAAGACATAATTTATCATAAATCCTACGAGCTATATGTATATCTACAGATAAAGATATAATCTTAGCATTTTGAAATTTATATAAAACAATTAAACAAATATTGAATTTAAAATTTACCTTTAGTAAGCACTATCCATTCAATATAAATTGGTTTAATATAATTACTGATAATTGGTTCACTTTTTAATGCATCTTGAAAAAATTTTTCCAAATTTTCAGGATTTTTTGCTTGTATATGAAGTAGTTTCAATCTGAACAATGGAAGTGAATTCTTTCCTAAGATATCTATTGCCTAAAAGGTTATTTAAGTTTATACAAATTAATATTAAGTTTATATGATTTTAAAACCAACAAAAGTATTTAATCTATTTTTAAAAAATGTAATCTACGTACTTTATTAAAAATTTCTGTTGCTAGTTCTTCTTGATTAGTGCTAAGAAGATAATGTAATTGAGCATGCCAAAGACTTTCACTTTCTGGCAAAGCTTCTGTAGCCCAATTAAGAATTTCAAATAACTTACCTTGTGTATTACTATTTTGATTATTTTTATCGAAATTTAACATATCAATCTTTAAAAATTATCAATAAAATTATTATAAAATAAAATAAATAACTAGTTATTTATATATAAAAAATTTACCCAATTTAAATAATATTTCTCCTTCAATTTTTTGGCTTGATGGCATTGTAATAACACATTTTTTAATAGTTTACGCTTGAAATTTGGAAGTGTGTCCGTTTCTTGGTTTATTTCAAGCATACAATCAATGAACAATGACCACATTTCTTCTGTTTTAATTTTTTTTACTGCAGTTTGATAAACTTTATAACAGTTACTTATACGATCACGCAATGAAGAATGTTTTAAAGTTTGAATTTCCATTGACGATTCGTCAGTTTCCAATGATGGTTGAATCAAACCTTTAAGTTCTCTATGGGCCATTGTATCCCACATCATGGGTTCATGTAAATATTCCTTGACCATGTCACTAAAAAATATTTAATATGTATTGAGTATATATAAAAACAACAATTTTAATATGTTATACCTCACAATTTTATGTTGTAATTTTTCTGTTTTATCATACCCTTGTGTAATATTCAAGAGTTCAATTATAAATTTTATATCTCTAATTCTTTTGAAGGCTTGTTCATAAATAATAAAAACTTTTTGTAGTTCAACAGGAATATTTGAATTATTTCTAATAGTTCTAACTGTAGATATATCTATTGATTTTACTTTATTATTTTTGGTAAAAACATAATCTAATTCTAATCTAAAATAATTGAACAAAATTATTATTCAGAATTAAGAGTAATTTTTATATTAATAAAACAAACTTGAAAATATCTGTATAAAGTAACTTTGAATCCGGATGGAAATGTAAACCTCTTAAAAGAAAATTTTTTGCATTTTGTTGATTATTATTCTCTTCTATTTCCCAAAGAGCTGCTATATGCCAACATTTTGGCTTATCTTGATGTATTGAAAGCATTCTACCAATCATTCGACTAATACAACTATGAAATTTCTATATATACAAAAAGGGATTGTATTTATATGCTAAAAAAGACATTTAATTTCAATTGAATAAAAGAACTACACTTACAACATGTTTACAAAACTTCATATAAGCAATCCAAAATCGTAAATCATCTTGAAATTTTAAAATAGCATCTTTGTATAAATGATTAATTTTATTTGCAATTGTAAAATCAATATCAGATTTCATTTGTGTAATTCCATATCTCTGTAATTATAAACATGTTTTACGTAATTCTATTAATAAACATACAAATTTATAAATAATTATAATATACTAATTATTTACTTCTCTACGCTGTTTAACAAGTTTCATTAAATCCATTTCATACTGGATATATCGTAAAAAATCTTCTTTTGATTTTGTATGTCTTTGAAGTTTATATTCATATTCTTTTAATTTTTTTGTTATTTCACTATAAGTAAAATAATAATTAATAAAAGTTCTTTTCTTCAAATTTAAATATTATGAAGCACCAAAATTATGTATATGAATATACATATAATATTTGTATGTGTATGGTGCAAAAAGTTATTAAAACTATATTTTAATTGTCTTTAAGTATCTTTTACATGAAACAATATATACAATACAATTCAATTTCTTAATAAATTACACAATGAATAAATGTGTATATACTTAAATAAAATGCTAAAGAATAAAAAACATTTATAAATCTATAAATTTATAAAGCTATTTATAGTACTTATTAAAAAAATTTAGTTATAAATATAAATGTTCAAAAAATATATATTGTCATTTAATAATTATGATCACAATTTAATAAAAATGTAAGTTAAAAACTTACCAAATTTCACGTTCACTAAATAATTTTAACTTTCTCATTTGTTCAAGAACAGGACGCATATCCTCTACTTTTTTTTGTACAAATTCAGCCATCGTAAATAATATTGATTCATAAAGTTGAGCTAAACATATGTAAATATTTTTTATTAGTTAAAAATTAATTCTTTAACTTTTAATTATTTCGTTTTCTTGTACTTATTGTTAACAAAGATAGAATGCATTCTTATACGCAAAAGATGTTAAGTTTATTGGCTTCTGAAATCGCGCGTAATATGAATATCTATTTATATTTTACAGATCAGTATATATCAATATAAATTTTTCATTGAACACAAATATTTATTTTCATTTATATAATGTTTTATAAAACAAACAATTATATTTAAAAATTATAAGATTTATAAATATTTATAAAAATAGTTTTTATTTAATATAATGCAACAAGTTCAAAAAATTTAAATATTGTGTTAAAAAAAAGTGAATTATAGCCAAATAAAATTAGTAGTTTGATATGCTCGCTCTTACTTTTAAAAATATAAATATATATTATTATAAGTTATACAGAATTCTAAATAAATAAATACATATATATTCAATATTCAGAAATTGTTAATGATCGGTTAAGCGAGCTTCAACTAATTTTATTTAGATTAGGTAATATTATTAATTTTATAATATGAATTCATATTACTGTTATATGATAACTTCAAAATAAGTAAAAAAAGCGGAGCATATTGTTATATGACAGATATCAAATTTATTTTCAATAATATTTTTTAAAGTGCATTAAATTTATACCCTTTATATAATATATTAAAATATATAAATCTACTATATGAATTACAGGAAAAAATACGTTGAAAATAAACAAATTGGATAGAAATTGTTCCTAACAAAAATAATACGGATATATTGAAAATACTATACATATTTAATTTTTTAAATATAAATTTTATATAATTATTTTATGTACTATTCTGTTTTTCAAGAGAATACCAGCAAAATATCAAGCACAATTCGAAACTTAACAATTTAGTATTAGTATTTTAGTCATTTAGTATTTTTGCGAAATTATATGAATATTGGTTAAGTCACTTAAGAACTAAACTTTATAACTCTAAAAATCAGCTTGAGACGTTTAAATAAAAACATTTGTCATTTCAATAACTTCATAATTGTTACGGATTGCAGTAGTTTCTAAACAAAATAAAAAGTGGGAGCATTATTATTATCTTCAGCAAAGGGATTAATTGCAGCTTAAGCGAAGATTTACAAGTCGCAGGGGCATCCCACAGGTTATGCACTCTGACTGCGGAACGACATTCATCGGAGCTGACAAGGAATTAAAAAAACTTTTCATCCAACACACGAAGGAACTCCACCACATTACAACCACACTCACGAATGACCACGCGCAGTGGGAATTTAACCCACCTGCAACACCCCACATGGGAGGAAAATGGGAAGCAACAGTGAAGTCAATCAAGTTCCATATCAGTCGAACAACAAGAGAAGCATCATTCACCATTGAAGAAATCAACACATTACTAACCCAGATAGAGGCCATTCTAAACTCACGTCCAATACACTCATTGACGGACGACCCCAATGACTGCTCTGCACTTACTCCAGGTCATTTCCTCATAGGAGAACCCCTCAACACAATTCCTAACCCATCCACAAGTGATCATAAAGCGTCAATAATGTCAAGGTGGCAATTCTTACAACAACGAGTTCAACGATTTTGGAAGCAATGGAAAAAACATTACCTACAGCAATTCCTCTCAACCTCTAAGTGGCATCACCCAAGCAACACGATCAAGGTTGGATCACTAGTTCTCATCACAGATCAACGCCAACCACAATACAAGTGGCCGTTTATGGCTCAATCTAGAGTCATAAAACTGCACCCTGGAAAGGGTGGACTAACTAGAGTAGTGACACTAAAATCACTTCTTCAATAATTTCAAGACCAATTCACATTCTTGCTCCATTGCGAGTTCCCATCGAAGGTACAGATATCAATCATCAATAAATTTATGATGGCGAGCAGAATGTTACGGATTGCAGTAGTTTCTAAGCAAAATAAAAAGTGGAAGAGGTATGAGCGCGCGAGCATTTGTTTTTTAAAAACTGACTAACGAATTCAAAGAATGCTATAACAGAAAAACTCGAATATACTACTATAATTCCAAAAGTAATAACAAATGAACTCTACGAGGCTATGCCCTGTTTACGTCACGACAAATATCGGCATAGCAACGATCATCTATCCAATTTCAACGCAGCTTGTTTATACGAGAATATTTAAGGAGCTGCACATGACGGTCTCATCCTCTTACTAGTTCAATCAAGCAATCATCAAGATCAAATTATTGTTCTACAAGTCAACGCCATTTACACAGAGATCGCCTTAAATTCACACAAATCGTTTTCTTACAAGTCAAATACCACTTATATAGAGGTTGCATCAAATACACAACGATCTATCTCCATACACGTAAGTTACGCTATTACACACGTCCTTACGTATCATCAATACAACTGAAATCGACTTCACACACGTAAGCTACGCTATTACACACGTTCTTACGAATCACTAACACACGACTCCGTGAACTAAGTAAGCAGCAATACCAAAACCACGGCATCATTGCCATTCATCAGTGACGTCATACGCCAGCGCCCCATTCAAGTCTCTCCAGCTCATCGGTAGCGGCAGCGGCTGCATCAATTCTCCTCAACAGTGACGTCATACACCAGCGCCCCACTTAAGCCTCTCCAACTCATCGGTAACGGCAACGGCAACATCAATTCTCCTCAACAGTGACGTTACATACCAACTCCACCACCCAGGTCTCTCAAGCGTATCGGTAGCGGCAATCGGTGGCGTCAATCACGCACCATACTACAAGAATACACTTATAAGATTATCATCACTCATATTACCTGAAGAAACTCTCACCTATTTATTCTATCATACACTCATTCGATATTCATAGATTATTAACTATTCATTATTTATTATATTCAATAAAAGGGAAAATCAACTCATATAAAGGCAGTATTGAATTATTACATTGTTCATTCCACTTGCCAGCAAGCCTCCCTTCACCATCTCAGGGAAGCGCTTTTAGTCTGATCTCAGACAATAATAAAATTAAGCATAAACAATCATTTATTTACTTTTAAGTTATCAATTTTATGTTTTATTAAATAAATTTATATAAATTCTTTATAATTTCATCGCATTTATACATGTCTAGGATCAGACTAAAAGCCTCCCTAAGATGGTGTGGAGGCTTGCTGGCAAGTGGAATGTACAATGCAATAATTCAACACCGCCTTTGAATGTAGTGGTTTTCCTTTTATTGAATATAATAATATAATAAATAGTCAGTGGTCTATTGAGGTAGGATTGAATTCATGATACAATGAATAGATGAGAGTTTCTTCAATTAATATGAGCGATAATAATCTTATAAGTGTATTCTTGATGTGGCGCGTGATTCTCCTACTCGTAGTTATGATTCGTAGTGGTAGTGGGAGATACGCGCTGATAAGGGGCAGCGATGGTGCCGCCTTTGCCACTGTCAATGAGAGCTGTCGCGGCTTGAGTGTGGGCGCCTGTATGACGGCACTGATGCGGGCAATAATGAGGCCGTGACGAGTGTCGCGCTGTAAGGGGGCAGCGATGGTGCCGCCGTTGCCGCTACCGATAAGAACTGTAGAGGCCTGAGTAGGGGCGCTTGTGTGACGTCACTGATGAGGGGCAATGATGCCGTTGTCTAGCGACTTGCACGCTGTAGTGGCTTAGTGTAGGGCGCCTGTGTAACGTCACTGATGAGGAGCGGTAATGATGTCGCTGTCTAGCGACTTGCACGCTGTAATAATTTAGTGGAGGGCGCCTGTGTAATGTCCCTGCTGAGGAACAGTGCTGATGCCGTTGTCTAGCGACTTGCACGCTGTAATGGTTTAGTGGAAGGAGGATATCCGTGTTACGTTACTGCTTGACGTATGGGAGTAGTCCTCGTACCATAAGCCGTTTATTATTATTGCTGCTTACTTAGTTAACGGAGCCGTGTGTTAGTGATTGGTAAGAACGTGTGGAGTCGATCTCAGTGCATTGATGGTACGTAAGAACGTGTGTAATAGCGTAACTCACGTGTATTAAGGTCGAACCGTGTAGTGGCGTTAGAAGGTCGTAAGCTTGACTTCCGTTGAATATCGTCGATTTCTAGGACGGCGATGCGATCATGATGACTGCTTGATTGAACTGGTCGAGAGCGTCAAGCGCGTCTCCTTAAATATTATAGTACAGGCTTGCGATTCCAGTGAATTCTAGATTGCTCTTGTCATGCTGATAGTTAAAGTGACGTCACTAGAATCTAGCCTTGAAGAGTTCATCGGCCCTTGTTAGTCGGAATGGTAATGTAATTTTGACTATTTGAGTATTGAAATTTCCCGATTTCGTAGAATCGTGTTTACGACTTGGCGCGCAATATTTTAACCTAAGCAGGTGTCTTTGCCTCTCCCACTTTGTTTACCGCGTAAAATGCTGCAATCCGTAACAATACATCTATATTGCACTGTATAATTTCACTAAATTTAGTAATATTATAATGAATTTTTTATTTTGACAGACCCATCACCCCTGGGAACACTTATATATAGGAATCGTTTGTTGTAAGTAATTTCATCCAATTAAAGATGATGTTCGGAATTGAAGTAGTATTCACGACCTTAACACAAAGAACAGCACGCGCGCTCGGACTATTGCTTAAAAACACGACTCGACGAGTACGAGCATGTTTCTACGATGTGAATGTCTATTATTTGAACAAAGTAGTCAGTCACGCGCGAATCAAGTTTTCATATAACTTCTGTTCAAAAGAGTCGATATAGGTGACAGAGCACGCTCTCTCAGACTAACAAGTCTGCGAACGTACATTTACCCCCTTACAGTCGACAGGTGACGCAATACGCTCTCGCAGGCTAACAAGCCGGAGACGTACGTTTATCACATACGTTCAATTACATTGTCAAGGCCAGACAACAGTTTATCGAAGAATCGACTATAAATAGATTTCATGAAGTCCTTCCGAGCTTATTCCGAGAAGACTTATCATTTATTGTTCTTGCGTGTGACTAGTTATCAACTATTCTCATCCTCACTAGAGGCATGATTAATTACGTAACAATTCCATCGAGACTACTTACATTCTATTAAGTATGATCATTCTCTCTACAAAGCATCCTTGATTCCAACACTATCTTCTCATGCACATTCATGATCGACTACACATGCTGATCCTTACAACATTAGCATAAAACCGATAGTCAAGATCCACATTAATCTCTGTTCGATTTTAGGGCTTAGTTTATGACTCGAACTACCAATTAAATACTTCAGTGGATTAGTCTCTCGTCAGGATAACTTTAAAGGAAATAATAAGTGACAAGGCTGAAAAATATGTATTCAGTAAAACAATGTTTATTATTTGTAAATAATTATAATAGTAATACTGCAATGTTGTGGAGAGAGAAGATTATTTTATTGCAGTAATGAGGGTGTGTCCTTGTATTCTTGATTATCGTAGATTCTATGGATATGACTGTGTATCTTGAAGTTGAGGTTATGCTGATATTGTAAATATCAGCAGGTGTAGTCAGTCAATCATGCTTATGAGGTATCATAAGATGGTGTTTGAATCAAGCATGCTTGATGTAGGAATAACTAAACTTGATATGGTGTAAAATGTTTAGTGGAACTTGTTGAAGAATCAATTATGCTTTAATTATTTGTGGGGGCCGTAAAAAGACTAGTCACACACACGAGTAATTAATTAATGATAAGTCTTTGTGCTCTTGAAGGACTTAATGAAATGTAATTGTAGTCGATATTCAATATATTATTGTCTGGTCTTGACAATGTGCTTGACGATTTGCGTCGCTTGAGTCGACTCTTATGGGCCTGTACGGGGTCGAAGCGTTGGTTCGAGAGAGAGACCATAAGTTTGCCCGCTTTATTGATGTGGGCCTGTATGGGGTCGAAGCGTTGATTCGAGAGAGAAACCGTAAGTTTGCCCGCTCTATTGATGTGGATCTGTACGGGGTCCAAGCGTTGGTTCGAGAGAGAGACCGTAAGTTTGCCCGATCTATTCTTGCGCGTGATATGACTAGCTTATTTATTAATATAAAAATGTACCTTGTGAGCTGCAAACAAGGTGTGTTGATTGCTGCGTAATTGATGTCCCCTTTGATTACTATTTCATTGGCTTCACTGTAATTCACTACTAAATCTGCTGATTTCCTTTTAATAATGCACGCGTATATTATTTACTAGGCTGCCGAATTTATGGCCACGTGTCGTCTTCACAATATACACAAAAACACTGAGCGGCAATTACAGTTTAGTGTGCGCGATATAAGATTACAATAAGCATCGCCACATGGCGAGCTGCCCTCAAATATGCATGCAGCGGATGCAATGCCGGCAACAGTACCGCGGCGTATCGTCATACCGAAAATTCTTTGTGGCGTTAGAAAATGAAGCTTCTAGAAGTTTCATAGGCGTTCTTCCTTTGTGAGATCTTATAGTATATTGTATTTCAGATCGTAAAACTTGCTCAGACTTGTCAAGTTTTGTTTATAAACATTTGCCCTAGCGCGCGTGCCGTGCGCCGTACAATGCGTTTGGCCCACTTTTTCTTTCATTCGTGGAACTGCGTCAATCCCGAACAATCTCCATAGCACTAACGACATCACCATCACACTGAAGAACCTCACTACAGCAATAGAATATTTTTCCTTCTCTTACTTGACGCAATAAAAACTACAATATTATAATAATTAACAAGCAGAATAAACGATATCTTAACTCAATAATATATATTGCACATAATTTCAGCCTTTCCACTTGTTTTTTTGCACCAGTCATCATGACGAGAGGCTAATCCACTGA